CTATCTATCTATCTATCTATCTATCTATCTATCTATCTATCTATCTATCTATCTATCTATCTATCTAATTATCTATCTATCTGACTTTGTGTGTGTGTGTATTCCAGCATACTCTGGAACGCCTTGATCAGTTTCAACCAAACTTGGTACACAGATGACTTACTCTCTGGAAACAAATACTGTGGGGTGTAAGACAACCCTAACACCCCTCGGGTCGGGGTGTGTGTTCTGTTTATATACAGCCTGTACTGCTGTTAAAATGGCTTCTACTGTACTGCTGTTAAAATGGCTTCTACTGTGCAGCGAGGTGGAGTTGCCATGGTAATGGCTTCACAGTACTCCACAAGGGGGCTCCCTCTGGTAAGGGGGGAAAATCCAACATTAGAAATTAAGTTTGGTTTGAACATTCCCCCCTGCCCCCAATAAATAAATACCCAGGCAACGCTGGGTTATTGGCTAGTAGACTATAAATCTAATAAAATAAATAGCTGAATAAGTAATCCATCACTCAAAGTGTTCCATAAAATATGGAAGCAAAGACTCATAGAAATTAGCTTAGACAGAAACTCTTGTGAGCGCAAGAGAAAAGTACTACAGCTAGCAACTGAAGTGAACCCTTGCGCTGGTGGAAGAGTTACTTGTGAAGATAGTATACTCTGAAATATACACTGGAGTCACCAGAAGTTTTGGAGACATGCCCTCAGCTACCCATAAGCAACCATGCCCACAGCTTCTAAAATGAGAAGTCTTTGGCATCAGCCTTGTTGGCTTGATGGCCAAGAAGACTTGGCCAAGAAGAAGCACTTACCAAGAATGTGAGGGGAAGCCTCATCTTCTTGGACAGTCACATGTCGAGCACCCGCTGGGATGTCAAACATCTTAAGGTACCCTTTGGCATGTGCAACGAGGCATTGAGAGACAGGCGAGAAGAAAGGAAGAGGAGAAGGAGAAGGAAAAAGAGGAAAAAAATGGCTAGCATTAGTTAGTTGCAAGTGGAGATAAATCCCATTGAAGGACGGGTCCATCCATAGGTCTTTGACCATTAAATGAGAAGATAGAAAGACCTGCAGCTTGAGGCCTAGGCTGCCTTATCTTTCCCAACTCTACATAGAGAAGGGAAAGACAAGGAAAGGTCCCTGCAAGACACTTATTTTGTTATGCTCTCTGAAGAACATAACACTGAGATCATTTAGACCAAGTATTTATGCTTCCTATGTTTCATAGATGAAAACCATGTTGCTATTAGTTGCGAAGTCATGTCCAACTCATTGTGACCCCATGGACAACGTTCCTCCAGGCCTTCCTGTCGTCTACCATCCTCTGAAGTCCATTGAAGCTCACGCCGACTGCTTGGGTGACTCCATCCAGCCACCTCCTTCTCTGTCGTCCCCTTCTTCTTTTGCCCTCAATCTTTCCCAGCATGAGGCTCTTCTCCAGGGAGTCCTTCCTTCTCATTAGCTGGCCAAAGTCTTTGAGTTTCTTCTTCAGGATCTGGCCTTCTAAAGAGCAGTCAGGGTTGATCTCCTCTAGGACTTACCCATTTGATCATCTTGCAGTCCAAGGGACTCTCGG